TAACTCAAGGTCGCTCACAGTTTTTTCTGTTTGTAGAAGTGAGTTATAAGGGTTCTTGTCTTGTCTTTATCGTAATTAATTGACGACAGGATGGTGTAGTGGTTAGTGTAAAGGACTACTATTCCAAAGGTCGCGGGTTCGATTCCCGCTCAAGTTAAATATTTTTGTGCGTGAACATTTAGTGATTGATTTGGTCTGGGTGTTTCTATGTATAATAAGTAGGTATTTACAAAAAAAAGTATTTATGTATTTATATGAGTTGTCTAGTAGCCATAGTACAAGCTCTGCTTAGTTTGTTACTAGATGGCTTTGTGTAAATGTGGTAGAATATTATTATTATTATATGAATGTAATGAATAATGATAATAGTCAATTAATTCTTCATCGCACAAATGTAAAAAATTGCAAAATTTAGGGATGATTGTACTTAATGCTTATACGCCACAGTGGCTAAACATGAATATCTATAACCTAATTTATTACACATCTTGCAAGCCTACGTAATACTCATGTTTTATACAAATAAAAATGTCTTTGTCTCTTTGTCTTTGTCTTATTCTAAGGTGTTTTAAATTCTTAATTTATACTTGCAGTACATCCTGCTTCTCTTTGGTTTACAAAGGTACAAACAGTATATTCATCTGTTGCAAGTCCTCTCACCTGCTTATAAGATCGAATAATATCATCTGTTGCACTCTTTATTCTAAATCTTGTTAGATAAGTCAAATAAAAATCATGTTGTAAATAACGTTGAATACAGGTGTGTACTATTTATACCTACTACAAGACTGATGCATTTATACATTTAATATGCGAGGGCTTTTGAAGCAGGTGATTCGGTAGCGGAGGATATTACTACCAATGGAGGGTCAAAGGACCTTTCAAGGCCTTTGCTACGACTTTTCGGAACGTCGCGCCTCGCTCAATAACCTTCGCAAGCCTCGTCCACAGCATCAATCGTCAATACAACAAACACGAAATTTCAAATTACCCTCGTACTCATTAATAGGTAACGGCCGTAATATTGTTTAGCTCTCGTTTGTATATGGAAAAAAGCGAAAATACCAATAACCTCTTATTATATTTAACCACTATCTTAAGGATTGCACAAAATGTTCTACTTAGAGCATTATAGTACTTATTTTAGCTACAATTGTCGTATGGATGTAAACATACGTTTTTCGTTACCTTGTGATTTAGGGTATTTTGCAAATGAACGATTCTGTATCTAGGGCTCTCAGATCTATATAGGATATAAACCACTAACTACTTTAATCCCGAATACAAAAAAGACGATAAACTAAGTAATACATACGTGCAAGTTTATAAAAATCAAAAGAACCTATACCTACAATCTGCGAAGTGATGGATAACACGCATAGTACATTTATGAATATATGTACCTACACACATATACATACAAGTATAGACAATTAAGTAAAGTGTGTTGGCTTTACATCATCTTAACACCTTATCGATACCTATACTTATCACACTTATCAATGTAATATGTTTTCACATTTATGCCGAAAATACTACCGATCTCATCTCTTCGTAAAATTGATAGTTGAAACTAATAGTCATAGTAATTCTACAGTCATCGTTTCCACTCATTTTTATCTTAATACGTGGAACAGGGGGATTGATACCTAACCGTAACATAATCTTACGAAGTGACATTCAGCTTATCTGCTTTTTTGGTGCGAAAATAATACCTATTCATAGACTTCGCGACCCGGGACACATTTATTTATTTATTTATTTATTAATTATTTTATAAATAAATGTAAGTCATTGATGATAACATATGTATAATAATCTAAGCTGCGTGCAATGGAAGAAGGCCTATGTCCAGCAGTGCACTGCCATAGGCTGATGATCACTGATGACAAAAAAAAATTTTAATTGTATTCATGTAGCTAAGTGAATATGTGAAAATTCGTGTATTTGCACGTGTTACCTACGTATATTATGAAATCGTTTATATACGGATTGATTAATAAAAACACGAATTTACACACATCAAGTGTGTAGACACCTATTGGCTATTGGTTGATATTTTTCTGCCTTTATATGGATAAGGATAACGTATCTTATAAAAACACTGCCAGGTGGCGGGTTCAATGTTCACATCGCTTTTATTTTGTTTTGAAACTACAAGACTCAGCCGGGGGTTGTAACTACGCCAGAGTCAGGCACCAAAAAAAGTTATCGAACAGCTGGCTGTGTTTTTATATCCATATACGATTTATTCAACAACATGAAGCTCATAGGTTTTTAAATTGAGAAAACTTATTACCTTTTTGTGCTTAGGCAACACTTGCTTACCTATTCTAGTGTCTTATCGTCTTATATGCAGAAATTGGTACTTCAGACAACTTGCAATGAGGTTATCGTACATTTTTGTTTGACCTACCTTTTAATCGAATTTTTCAGGAGACAACTATGTATTATGATCGAAAAGACGGGTTAACATGAGTATTTTTAATTGCTGATTATGAATGTACTGGTATCACATGCTTCTTATTGTAAACTGTTGTACCTTCAACATTAGGAGTTCTTAAGTGTTTTTGAAAGAGCAGCTAATCTCCATTTTCCGCATTAAAATATAAACTAAATAAATTTTCAGGATTCTGACAAAACTATCGTATTTAATTTAATAATTAAATCCTACCAATATTTCAGAATCTATATATATATATATATAAGAGATTTCCACGTATTTAAACACTCATCGCGATATCTCTGGAACCATTAGAGCTAAAGACTTGAAATTTGGTAGGAATATCCTTTTCACCAAGTAGAGGTCAGCTAAGAACGGATTTTAAGAAATAAAAAATAATAATTAAAATAATGTAAATAGCAAAACAACGTTTGCAGGGTCAACTAGTATATAATAAAATGTAATCAAGCCGATTAAAAAAAGGTAGTTATTATGTAGTTTTATTGTGATAGCGAAGAAGCAATACAATAAATGATATTATTAATATATTATCCAGTTATATCTAGTAATTTCTACTAGATATAACTGGATAAAATATTATAAATATATATATATATATATATATATATATAATCAATTAAATTATATTTACGTACATTTCCAAATATAAATAATATTCTACCCCACGTCTGGTATGCTGAAGCATTTAATTGGTCACCCTACAATGTTTCTTCCGTTAGTTATGTCTATTGTCTTAGGTATACAGCGGAAAAAATATTGTTATAGTGAGTACCTATCTTAGTTGAATGCATGGAGGGTAATCAAAATGCACATGTGTGAAGCGCGTCAGCACGGGCCATGGTGCACGTTCCAGTAACAGCTGCGTCTTTAACTCAACCTACATAATAGGTACGGACGAACGTCGATTCATGTAAAGAATAAAAAAAAACCTTAAGCTGCAATTGATTATCCTTCTATGTTCTTATTGAAACTAGTCATAGATAAAAAATTCAAAAGGAACTTAGACTTTTTCGTTTATATTATCACAATCGTATTTTTTAACTTGAAATGATGATTACAAAAGGAAGACTTATCCTATGTAACCTTTTTTTTGCCTAATTGTCGAAATAAATATACAATAATAACAGTGCTTCGAGGAACACAAGGTTATGCCCATAGCTTAGAGTGTGGGCCTAGACAAATGAATAAATGTTCATAGATAATAATATAATAAAAATATACATTGATTATGCATAAGACCAACTACAGGTATTTGTTAGCCATCAAAATCGGATGCTCGACTAATTCGTTACTCAGGTAAGTAGGTTAGGTACGCTACAGACATAAATTATCTTCATAATAAATAAAATAAAAGTAAATAGTACATACCTATTAGGTATTATATAAAGACATTTTTTTACTTCAAATATTTTAAGGCCTGGTACTGTTTGTTATATTCTTCTTTAAATTTATTGATATTAAGCTTGTAAATGTGTTAACTTATACAGCATTTATTATCTTATTATTTAATGCTGTGAGACTGAATCATACTTAACTAAAATATTGAAGGTATTCATACTGGAAGCGAATGGACGCTGTCGGTTGCAATTTGTGATTTTATTGATTTGTTGCTACTTCCCGCTTAAAGCACACTCCGAACTCTACGACTCGTGTCGGTCGTCTTAGTTTATAAACACCCTGCTCACCCTCTGGATTCTGGAACTTACAAAACACAGTCACGTGGGAATAAAGTCTTTTGCACTCATCTCAATAACTAAGTAGGTACCCATGTGGTTTTTAGTTATGTAATTTATGTAATGTTTTATCAGAAACTTTTCTGTTATGTTATGTTACAGTTACATCATAAATTATGAAGTTATGTATTACTGATGCAGTGTGGACTTTAATTCCTGTAGTACTTTTGATATTTAATTTATAATTTCATAGGAAATTATAGAATAACATCTGTTTGAAAGGTAATAGGTTACGCTGTACTTCTACCTAATAAAGTGTGGGAGGCGAATGAGGGTGACATGTCACGCTTCGTCCTTACGCACATGTATATAATATAGATTGAAACTCGGCTGAGAGGGTGGAGTGGGCAGAGAAGAAAATGTGGAATGGGGTTTCACAACTACACATAGCCGCGCGCGTCGCACCGCCCGCCGCTCCGCGCCTCCCCCAACACCGACCGCTGCAATTATTCTGTCTAGCGAGAGAGAGACGTAGTCAATGCTCTGTTCGCGTCGGTCGGAGCGCTTCGTTCGTTTCGTAGCATTCCAGTCCAGTAGAAGTTGTCAGTCCGCAACACGCCGTTCTACTTAACGGACGTACGCGCGCTGCTCTAGAACTGAAAATTAGCGTTGTTTATTTATTTATTTTAAATTTGCATACCTTTGAATTTCTCTAGTGTTACTAATATAAATATTCTAGCTTCAATTTTGTGATTTGATACGTTTTAAGGAACATTAATTAACCTTCAATGAACTGTGATCGTGTTTTTGACCGTTTCAAACAATAACAAAACGGTAGAAAACAAAGTGAAAGATAAGCCGAAATGAGCGGTTTGACCAACAGAGTGAAAAGAGGATCGAGGGGTAGTGCAACTTTACTCGAAGCTGCAAACAGGATTTTGCGTTTACTTGGCGTGAGCTCCACGAAGCGCGGGAAACAGCCCTCGCCCAAAACTAAGGTAAGGTCAATGACTGTCTGAATCTCGTGTTTATTTGTACCCACTCGACTGTCATGTCGGTTTATGGATATATTGTTTCGCTACAAATCGTGGTTTTTTTTATGAAATATAGGTATATAGCATACATTTTTTGTTTCAATACATACAGTTTTTTTTGAGTGCATGTTATTTTAGACAGAGCAGGATCATGAAAAAGTTTATAAATGATGGAAAGACGTGGCAATAGGCCAGTCTTACAGCCTTGTATACTGTTTGTAAACTTTCGCTGTGTACAGCGGCGATAGCGCACTTTCGCCTTGTTTTTTCTGAATGTCATTGGATGGCTCCAGTACGGGGGCGCGCGGCATTCACAACGGCTTGTGTGTCGCGTATGTATGATACAAACAAACGAAGCGGCACAGCACTTGTTTGTTCACGCTTCGTCAGCGTGACCACCTTGTTTACTGCTATGAAATACACAAGATTCGAACGTATTCGCCGTAGGTCTATAATGTTAGTTCTGTGTTCAAATAATCATTATAACTAGAGCCAATGTAATGTATTATTTTATACGATTATTTGCTCAAACATGCATTATGTAAATCTATGATTGAACACCACTCTATGCATTTATACCATCTACCACTATTGACGTAAACAATTTATAAAATTATTGTATTACACAACGAATATTATGAAAATTTTGAAGGGACTTTCAAGTAGCCTAATGTAATTTTGGGGGTTTGTGGTTATGAACCTTAAATCATAATATTTATTATCATTTCCACCCTACAATATCTTAATAAACATCAAAATGATACGCTACGTGAATGTTTGTTCGAACCTACGTCATTGATGTGCCGTAAATGCCGTAATACCTTGCCGAGGTGATGTACACTCACATTCTTTATCAACACCGATAATATAATATTGTAGTTCTACGGGCTTATGGAAAAACACTGATTTCATTATTAAATAAACAAACTAACCTATACAATTTAAACCGATTGAAATCATCAGGTTTAAAAAATTTCAATTGTATACGACGTTTGTAAATATAATGAAGGTTAATAAATGAAAAACATAGAAGTCAAATTCTGCTTGCAATATTAATATAATAATAACCTCGGACATCTCACACACGGTCGTCTAATTCCAAACTAGGCAGAGCCTGTACTATGGTAACCAGACTGCGTATAAATTATAATTAATTATATTTACTTAAACACGCACAGGTAAGACCAAAGTTTATTGCGAACGTCGCGTCGCCCTCGCTGCCTTCGAGGATATTGTCTGTTGTAGGTAGGTACAATGTTCTCGGACAAAGGCGTTGTTTACAATTCGTGATTCATGAGCCTTGATAATTCTCATTCATCTTTCACTTTTTAGAGCTATGTCCTGTTAGATGACGTAAAATAACGAATGTGGAATTCAATATCGCATTTATTATTCGATTACGTTTCTTATTTACCTCGAAATATTATTATACATATATATGTATAGTGGATAGGGATCCACTAAATATTCCAAAATTTATCGTTTCTATCCGTCATATTATTATTAATATGTAATCAAAAACCTAGTGAGAGTAGTAGAACTACTTTGCTATGCATTCAAAAACATTACATAAATCGTAAAGGTAGAGGCGCGCGGCATTGCAAAGTGCAGAGGGTTGTGTGGTGGGGGGATGTAGGTCGGCTATGTTGACGGTGTAGCGGACGAACGCGGCGCGCCGCCGGCGGCGGTTTGGCGATGCGGTGGAATCCATTGGTGTGGGAATGCGAGTGTAAGTACCGTTGCGCGTTGTGAGCGCCGCGACGGTGGTCTACACCGCGTTCCAACTTCGGAATGCGAGACCCATTTATGGCAATTAAAGTAACTCTAATTAGTTAGTGACTCATTCGAAATTTGAATGGGGGGATTTTGCCAACTTAAAATTTACTTGAGTTAATAGTACCTATGCTTTACAAATTTAAAAGTAGCACCATCAGAAATAGATCGAGTCTTTGATCCAATCTCATCTTCTGCTTCTACGCTACTATAGATTAGACCAACCTGAGATCTGATATGATCTGTATGTGAATATCTGTATGTCTGTATGTCAATACGAGGCCGCTAGGCTAGCAGGAACCTTAAAGTTCTAGAACTTTTTATGAAAGTTTGACGATATTATTTCCGTTCCAAAGTTATGAGAAAATTAACACAATCCTATGAAGTTCAAAGATCGTAAATAGTAACAGACTCTGTAACGGTATAATACCGGCTAGTTACTTTCATTTGCTTTTCATTAAGTTTGGTTTTGGCTAACATACCGTTAAACACGAGTTGTTGTATGTATCTGCAGCGTGGTAAGACAGAGACAAAACTGCGCATGACATCTATCTTTGTCTGTCTTCACTCACGTCGTTGAATGGAAGCATCACTTTTTTGTTCGTCGACGGGTCCGTAAAAAATGAACAAAAACGTGAGCCACGAACTCGAAAAATTGGATCATCGAACTGTAGGCGAGGCCAGTGAACGTAGCAGACGGTACATTATATTATTTTAATTTCGGTACAATTGGTATATTTTGATGTCTAGTTAGTGTTCAATTATTATTTTTATTTATTTAGAACTTCTTTCAGGATTACACTATTTAGATCGTTCGACCCGAATATGTTTTCAAAAATATAAATAGAGACTCACCTACCTTTATACCTAGACTTGGTTTAAAAAAAAAAACAATATGTCACTTAAATATAAAAATCATTTGACACAAGGCCATAAATAACATCTTGGCAAATAGCAAATATGAGTTACTATTACTGATAATACAAAGTAGTCAAAATTGATTTTCACCTAGTTTTAAGCATTGTTTACATATTTAGCGGTCACCTAAATTTAAAGAAGTCTGCACTACAGACGGCGCGTTGCCCCCGTGCCCCCACCGCTTATGACGTGTATTCACCATCACCTCCCGCCGCCTACCAGCCGATAAACAAGTGCACGCTTTCGAAGCGCGACGACGTCGCATTTCTCTCACGAGTACTCACGGACGATCCACAATACTTGTCTGTTTTCTCGTACAATTCAGTGTATAAGTCCAAATGTTATTTTGCTAAACATTTTTTCCTTCGTTACAGATAAATAGTCGAGCGTCGAGCGAGGCTCGTGCCCCTATCGCGGCGGCCGAAACTATAGTCGAGACTCCGATTAAAATGCAAGCTGCCTCGGTGCCTGCACCGGCGGCTGCGTCGCCTGCGCCCGCATCCTCTGCACCCACACCAGCACCGGCACCCGCTTCATCGCCCGCACCAAGTCAACCTCAAAAACCTACCAAACGAACAGCTAAAGATTACATTTTTGGCAAATTAATCGGCGATGGCTGTTACAGCACCGTATTTCTTGCGAAGGATATTCACAGTGGAAAGGAATATGCAAGTACGTATGTAAACATATTATGAACGTAAATATTTGTGCAGTATTGATACTTCCTGTTTATAAATGTTAGTTAGCTATATCCTACTACTATATTAGCTGTCCTTTTCATCACATTAAGTACATCTTTGTAAAAAATGTTATTCTCTTTTTTACAGTAAAAGTGTGCGAAAAACTTCATATCATCCGGAAAAAGAAAAGAGAATACATAAAACGCGAAAAAGATGCTTTAAACATGCTATTCAACGTACCACACGGATTCGTTAAACTTTATTGCACATTTCAGGATGAGGAAAGACTTTATTTTGTATTGTCCTTTGCTAAAAACGGTGAACTACTCTCGTATATAAATAAAGTGGGCTCTTTCGAGCTAAATGTAGCGAAATTTTATGCCGCTGAATTACTGTTGGCTTTAGAAAAGATGCATGCCAAAGGGATCATTCACCGTGACTTGAAACCAGAAAATATATTATTAGACGAAAACATGCATTTGCAAATTGCTGACTTTGGAACGGCAAAGATACTTGATCCAGAAGAAATTCGATCAGCTCCGAATACCACAGATAATGAGGTTCAAAATGAACGATCTAGGAAAATTAGTTTCGTTGGAACTCCTCAGTACGTCAGTCCAGAATTGTTGCATGATTGCGTTGACACGCGTGCCTCAGACTTATGGGCGTTGGGATGCATCATATACCAAATGATTTCTGGGCTGCCGCCTTTCCGAGCTTCTACAGAATTCTTAACGTTTAAAAAAATATTTAAAATGGACTACGAGTTTCCAGAAGGCTTCCCAGCTGATGCAAAAGATTTAGTAGAAAAATTATTGGTACTAGACCACACTAAAAGACTTGGAGCTAATGATAAAGGAGAAACTTATGATAGTATTCGCAATCATCCATTTTTCGCTGGTATCGATTGGGCCAAAATTTGGGAGCAGACACCTCCACCTATTAGCCCATATTTACCTGGAGGATCGTTTGAAGAAGAATATAATGTCCCTGATGATATTGAACCAGGTTTCTGCAATAACAGGCTTCTGAGTCTCTGGCAAGAAGATTTATCTACCTCCAAAGGTAAATTTTGACTAAGTTTTACTTTTGTATAGAATTCCAAAAACAGATATTTTTAAAATATGTTTTACTTGTACATATACTGTTTGGGCTAAACTAAATATTTTCCGAAAACTGTGAAACATAATACACAGTTGTTAGTTCTAAATTATTTGTAGTCTCAATGGATGTTAGTAGGTTGAGTATGTAGCCGATGTGGACAATTACAAAGTCTCAGGCGAGTGCAGTGAAGCGACGAGTAAGAGGCAACTGGTGCGTCCATGACCTGAATTCTTGGCAAATTTATACTTCTCGTTTCATAACTAAACCGAGTCCAATAACGTTTTATTTTACGATTATTATTCCAAGTAGGCACTGTTTCTTTTTAAGTAAACAGTACTTTTAGTAAGTCTGCAAGTAATGCTATCCTTGCATTCGTTTTTCCGGTGACAGAACGTCATCGCATTCGCTGCTATACACATTCAGAACGGACGTCCTTACTGTATGTATGGTTGTATGTTACGGTTTTATAGTTGGTATGACGTCAGCCTTCCGGCACGTCGTCCCGAAGTGCTACATTCTCAACAGCTTATGCCATGACATGAATGACTCGCTCGTTACGCCCTACGTGTTTTATTAATGTTGACCTTATAATCAGCTGTGTACACGCAATCAAACTCCTTCGAGACTTAACAATTCTCAAACTTAATCGTCATTATGGTCCACAAAACAACGATTATGTTACCAGTAGAAAGTATAAAAAATAGTATTTTTATGAAATTGTTTTATTTCAGGTATCCTAAACATAAGTCCTGAAGAGAAACGTCAGCGTCTCGAAGCGCAATCAAGGGACAGCAAATGGCATCAGTTCGTCGACGGCGAACTAATATTAAAACAAGGCTTGGTCGACAAGAGAAAGGGGTTATTTCCTCGACGGCGAATGTTGTTACTTACGACTGGACCACGCTTATTTTATGTCGATCCTGCGAACATGGTTCTCAAGGGAGAGATTCCTTGGTCATCGGAACTACGAGCTGAGGCAAAGAATTTCAGGATATTTTTAGTGCACACGGTGAGGATTTAGTATTTTTGGTTTTTACTGTTATGGTCTACTTCTATTTAGTGCTTCGTTCTTAAACTTACTGGTGTATTTATTATTGTTGCAGCCTAATCGTACATATTACTTGGAAGACCCTGATTCTTATGCGTTAGAGTGGGCTCGCATGATCGATGAGGTGCGCATCGCCACATACGTGAGAGACACGACTTAAGCTCTGGGCCGGCCGCAGCTCCGAGTCGTGCTCGCGCCGCCGCGGCCCCAGGGCCCGCGCCCCCAGGGCCTAGAGCCCTCATCGTGCCTCGCACGGCGAGTTCACACTTCTAGGTTATTTCTAGCCTCGATTTAGAGCATGGCAAATTCCAAGCCGTAAGCTTTCACGTCGACGCCCGACCTCAGCGTGTTTGCGTTCAGTTACGTCGGCCAGGAGCGTGGCGCAACGAGTGGCGCCACATATGTTCAGCGCGCCACGACCTCGGCGTGTGTGCGCACAGTAACGCTGACCAAGAGCGTGGCGCCACATGTTCAGCGCGCCACGACCCCAGCTTGTGTGCGCACAGTAACGTCGGCTAGGAGCGTGGCGCAGCGAGTGGCGCCACGTATGTTCAGCGCGCCACGACTTCAGCTTGTGTGCGCACAGTAACGTCAGCTATGAGCGTGGCGCGGCGAGCGGCGCCATATATGTTCAGCGCGCCACAACCTCAGCGTGTTTGCGTGCGCACAGTAACGTCGGCCAGGAGCGTGGTGCGGCGAGCAGCGCCACATATGTTCAGCGCGCCACGACACGACGACCGATCGACTCCCACTCGATCACTCTGGATACTGATTGACTGATTCCTATTAATAATAATATCCGACTATCTTAAATTATTCTAATTTAAGTTCCTTATTTAATCGTGGAATATCGACAATGATGTGTAAATATTTCTTAAATTATTATTGCGATTGCTTAGTGTATAGTTAAATGTGGGGCGATGTAACTATTGTATACGGGCCTCTTGTAAGGATGGACTTGTTATTCACCACCTGCGTGTTCACGAAGCCCATTCCGGTTGGTATCTAGGCAATTTATAGCTAAATTTAATATTTATTTTATTTTTAATTATTTGCCAACGGAATGCGCTGCTGTACAGTTATAACAGTAGAAAATTATGATTTGTATGTTTCTATATTCTACGTCAGCTGGTACAATTGGTAGATGGTTGCAACAGATACCCAGAATTACCAATTGAAGCTCGTAGAATATTGATAGATATGAAAGCATGTAATCGTAAGAAGGGTAGCTTCTTCGCTAGCTAATCGAGAGATGTTTCGGGAGACGATGTCAAAAGTAGGCAAACAAACATTCATAACTCGATTTAAGTAAAACAAACGCTCTTCGATGGAAAAATACATCGCTATCGAGCTTCAATGCTTTTTATTGTACAAGTAACTTGTGCTCTATAAATTAAAAATAGCAACGGTATACGGATAGTGCCACCAAAGGTGACACTTACTGCTATTTCATTGCTTTGTAATGAATCTTCTAACATTTGTTAGTTGCAAATTAAGACATTGGGATTGCTTAATGGATAGAAACTAGTGCAAATTTGTTTTTTAATGTTTTGTGTTACGAACAGTGATTATATTATGATGGCCATAGAGTTTTCAATGTCATGGCATTTTAAGTTCTAATTAAAATTGTTTAAAAAAATGGTTATAATTCAATGGGTTTGTCATAACTGGGACGTTGATATGCCTAACCTTGCCTGTAAAATTTAACATTATGGCTTAATGGGATTAAATCCAAAGTTGAATAATTTCGTATTCAATCGTCGAAACCCTCATTTAGACAAATGTAGCAAAATAAGGTTTCACTAAGTAGTGCAAAGGACTGTTTTATTCATTTACCTACTAGTGTTTATGGGCAGTGAAATTATATCTGAATTGGTCAGTTATTGGAATTTTCCATGACATTGTTATAAGTAATTAAATTAATTCCTGCATTTGAAATTTAATAAGTGTTAACTATTGTAATTATATTTTACAACATTTGTATTGCATAAATTCCATAAAGTAACAAAATAAGAAATTGAAAATAAATTGAAGTTGATTTTTTATACACTGTTTTTTTTTTCTCACATTTTTCCCAACTGGCATCTCAGGCCCGTAACAAGCTTTGATCTTGAACTTTAATCTTCCGTCACGCAACAACGTTTTACGAAGTTGAAATGCGTACTTAGGCACATTAACGATGGAAAACAACATGATCTAATCTGAGAATTGTTGGTATTTAGTAGTTGGTAGATTTTGGTATCAGAATCTTAAATTGATCACTTGCTATATAATTAACATCTCTTATCACTCTCTTTAAATAAAAGGAACACTACTACAGAATTGGGGTGCAGCTCTTGTTCGCTTTAAAACGGATTCGCTTTAGTGTTACTCTACATGTCTGTATCGAGTTGACTGTACTTACTTTAGATGATAAATTATAGCGTAAAAGCATCTCGAATCATCATCATCACCGCCTACACTACTGGTGGTACAGTGGGTCAAAAAGTAACCACCAAACCAGAAATAGGAATGTGAATATTAAAAACCCTACCCTTACGTTACAATAAAAACTTCTGTTCTCGAATTTAGAATATATGATTTAATAGGCACCGATCGCTTTACGCACTTATGGCAAAATGAAATGCACACACATTTTTTTGTTACATCTTAGGTACCTACCTAAGATGTAACTAGGTACCTTTCATTAAGTAGGTATTTTTAACATTTTACTTTAAGTACAATAATTTTAAAGTAAAAAATAATGTTATATTGCAAAACAGAAGTTTTGTTAGTCTAACCTTAATAAAAGCCAAATACACATAAGATTACTAGGTATTTAAGTATTTTATCTCTGATTTAAGATTAAGTAAGGGTAGGTTGTTTTTCTGTTACGTATTGTAATATATTTCAAACAATAGATTAATACAAATATACTGACAATATCTACGTTTAAGTATTTTAAACATTTTACTAATTGTACGATAATTTAAACGTATTTAAACCTATATTGTTATTTCGGTAACAGAAGTTTATTTAATTAAGAATTTATCTCTGACATTTCTAAGGACTTAAAACTAGAAGTACACATAGATAATAATATAATTTAAACTCTGCGATCTAGCTCTTAGACTATACCTACCCACCTTAAAAATTGGGCTGATTATATCTCCTAAACTAAGACCCGACTAAATCAGTGACTTGGCGACATATTCCGACTAATTAGCGACTAAGTTTGGGAGAAAACAGATCTTCGCTAGATGTCCTAGTTTTTGAGATACAAGCGTAGCCAAGCCGGGAGACTGACCCCAGCAGGGCCACCTGTAAACGCTTATAACTTTTGAACCAGTTACCGACAAATTCTGATATTTGGCGACAAATTTCGACTATCCATGATCGTGGTCAAGCCAGTGTCAGAGACACTCAAAGAAACTCTGTTTTATTTGACAGGTCGATACAATCGTTAAATTAAAAGCATCATTAAAAGACAACATTGTTTTGATGTGTGCCGGTGTGTCCCTTATTAAGGGCTAAAGGCTGAAAAGGCAATGAAGAGAAAACAAGATAAATAAAAAAGTTGGAATAGAAATTAAACTGAAGTAAAACAAATAAATATATATATAAAACACATTAGCCCACACCACATTTCCACTTAAGAAATAACCTGTGCGAAATTAATCCACAACATTCTTGTCTTATATGGAATCGGAATAGTAACCGGAAAGAATTTAAATAATAATAAAAAAAAGTAGAAAATAAATGGGGAATTATACCTTGCACCCAATTTCGTTGTGATCACTAAACAACACTGAACACTGAAACATTTAACTAAAAACAGATGCAATCAATATTTTTGGCCCAGCCACCCCAAATAAGTTAGTTAGTTCCCTTAGTTTTTGGCATCTATAAATGACGCTGATCACGAAAATATTACAATATATATCACAGAAATTAGAAATTAAGAAAGTGAATTAGATTGAAATTTGCTTGCACTTATTTTTTTAACTGATCACATTTAGATGATAAAAAATACGGTCAAGAAATTTATGCTTGAGTTGAGATGAGTTTGAGTTATTTATGCTTGACAATATTAGGAAAACTACTTGGAGACAATTTCAACTACTACGGTACAATTTCTGCAGTAAAGCGAGTCTGCTAAAAGCGAAAACAAGGGGGAATGCAGCACAATCGACATCGGATTAGAACTACCTAATTAGTCTGAAAAAATTGGCGGGGTTCCGTCATCATTACGTTCACAGCTATTTTACGGACATAATATGCAACACTGTTTTGTTTCTGCTGGCCCAGGGTAGTTTAAGCCCCGTGTAAAAGTACAACAAGGTAACAATTTTTGTTCTTTTTGTTGTTAACGGGGTGGAAAATGCCTGGACTCAGAAGCCAGGAGTATGTGCTGATTCCACTAAAAACCACCCCGACGGCCGGCCTCAGGCGCCCTACTCTGGGAGGTTCCGGATCATGTGATTACAGGTCTTCCCCGAATCGACACCACCCTTAATCAGGCCCTATACTAGGAGAACTATTTCATACTATACCATAACCGATAAGAGATCATTAGGAACTCGAAATAAAGCCAAGCCTTGCATAAGTGTTAGTTACCCCAGTAGAATGCTGTCGAAAATAGTCACTTAACTTGTTATGGTTGCATAGTTTCTGTAATTCATGCGCACATTTTTAAAGTTACACTCCTATAGTTGTATAGTTATTTCACAAAAACATTTCCGGCTGCAAAAGCATTACCGCATCCAGACTTTTTCCTTTTCATAGGTATGTTGAAATAAATAGATTTTAGCTGTATGATTGGTTGTCTATAAGAGGTAAATGTTGCATATTATTTAGTATTTGTACTTTCTTCGACTGTGAAGTTCTTCAAGACCCTGCTGAAGTACCTAGCGTTCGAGGTTTTGTTGGGTCTCTGAACTGGTTACGCGGATTCTTATTACCTTTTGTACATGACTTCTTAAGAATTAGTTTTGATTAGTTATGCAAAAAAAAAAACAAAAATAATGCAACGTTTAGAGGTGATTTAATTACAAATAAATACATGCCTATTGACGTCCACTGCTGAACGAAGGCGCGCCAAAGAAGCGCCCACCATCCCGGTGGGGAAAAGCGAACAACCAGCCTTCTTTCGTACCACGTTCCAATCGTTTATAGTCCAAAATATGTCAATACTATTCTTAGTCTATATTAATGACTTACCAGACATTACTACTCATAAAATGTATATTATTTGCTGACGACATTTCAATTATATTGACATCCAAAATTGGTACAAATTATGACATTGATATTAATATTACAATAAAGTCCGTAATTGAATGGCTAAATAATATTAACTTAAATGCTAATCTTTCCAAAACCAATTTCAAACAATTCCAAACTCAAAGCTCAAAACTAAATCTTAGATAAATAAGATATGGCGATACTGTTATAGAGGAAACGAAATGCGTTAGGTTTCTAGGATTATCATTAGATAAATATTGCAACTGGAAGACACACGTCGATTCAGGCTGCAAAAGGGTTAATAGTTTTGTCTACGTGCTTAACCGACTAAGAAGAACCGCTACTCAACAGACAGTACTTCTCGCTATCATGGTCACGTAGGTTCTGTATTGAAATACGGTCTATTGTTGCGGGGAAACTCAGTAGATGCTACTCGAGCGTTTTTATCCCAGAAGAGATGTGTTCGGGCTATGGTGGGCATTCCTCCTTATGAATCTTGCAAACTTTATTTTAGAAAATATGAAATATTACCGTTGCCCTGTTTGTACATTTTTGAAGTAAGTGTATTTGTTAAAAGTAACCCTAGTTTATTTAAAAAGGCATAAGATATATTCCCACGCAACACTCGGGGCAGTGAAAGACTAGTGCTGGATTTTGTTCCCAGAACTACACTATTCCAAAAAAATTGTTATAATATATGTATCAAAATATTTAATAGCTTGCCACCAACCATAAAGACGCTGCCCCTACTGAAATTTAAAAGGAAATTGAAAATATGGCTTTTGGAAAAAAATATATACTCAGTAACCGAATACCTAAATGAGCGATAATTACAAAAACACCTGACAATATTTTATTGTATGTTGTGTTCTATATTAGAAATAAATTATCGGATTGAAAAATTTGACATTGCATATTATGTAAATTGTTTATTGACATGAGCTTAGTAGTTTGTTATTAAATCAATCTGTTGTTATAATATGCATGTAATTTTAAAATTTGCATGTCAGAACAGACTGACGAAATATGTGATTCTCTTCTAATAACTATAAACAGCCCGTATACCATATTTCTGCAATTAAAGTATCATTTCATTTCATTTCAATAGTTTCTAACCCTACAGACTAACTTTGAACGTTTTTTTTCTTGTAGCTGCCTTCAAATGTATGCGAAGTTTCAAAAGTATCCTATAAGTAATTAAAAAATTAATGATGAAATTCAGTTCTCCACGTTGACACGTTTAGTTGATATGTTTAGGTGGTTACCAAGAAGCGATCGCATAGTACATTATGCTATAGTCTAAAATGTTTAGTATAATACACTTTACAAGTTCGGTATAAATAATAAAAACATTATTATCTTTCGGCTATTTATTATTACTACATGTAGTATTTATTTTTAAATAAATGATTTCTGCTACGTATTTGAACACTGTTTCTACAGTATAATCGAAAATTAATGTTGACCATGTCCTATTAAATAGATTTACAATAAATGCCTTCAACATAGCAGAAATTTAAGTTAAACTTAGAATAATGAGCATATGAAAATGAAAACTTCAATTAGTTTTGTTGTAAGCCGATTTTCTTGGATAAATGCGATTGTTATTTTGGATTAAATTGACAACATTATGGTCATTACTACTTGACTATCATTCAAACGAAAAGAAAGTAAGTGCATGGATCTTGAAAAACTATGCGCTGATGCCGCGAGGATAAATTGGATGAGTGTGGCAGCAGTTACGGACGTGAAAAAAAGTTAAATTTTTTAATGACAATATTGTGAAACTATATGACGTCCACGCTCCTGTGAAGACAATAAAAGTAAATGCACCACGGCACCATGGATGACAGAAGAGGTCCGAACAGCAATGAGGCGAAGGAATCAGACCTTTCTCAGATTCAGGAAAGACCGGTGCGAAGACATGTGGAACCGTTATAGAGCTGCAAGGAATTGATGTAACCAGGTTATCACCTGGTTACATCAATTCCAGTTCAGCAACGCTAAACGCTGACACATCCTTCAAAACTTAGAGTCTTCCTCTTCTTCCAGTATCTGGAACTTTAGGTATTGGCAATCAACAACATTTTGAGTTTAAGAATACAATAGGTTTGAATGATATGAATCGTTATTTCTCATCTACAACCACCCTGGATCTTCATACCAAGTGTCAAACGCTGAACTACATATATGACCTTGCCAGCTTTTTCTCCGGTATCTTCTGGGATATCAAAAAGATTATCCTATCCATCCGCTCTAATGCTGTGGGGTATGATGGCATTAGCCGACGCATGAATATTATCATCCTGGACTATATTCTCCTAGTAATTACTCAAATCATTAACTTCTCTCTCGACTCAGGAACCTTCCCTTCCCTTTGGCTAAAATTAGGACATTCTGTAATTGTACACTGTTCGGCATTTCAAGTCGAGTAAAATGTTTATACGAATCCAATCTTAGTCGAGTTTTGTGCTTTAACACTAGACATCGGTATCTCGGAGACTCGGCGTGTCAGTGTCACTATTTGTGTCAGGTTAAGGTACATATAACCTACGACTTGCCTGTTTATTTTGCTTGCTTTTAAGATTTGAACAAATCATTACACATTAAAATGACATCAGCTGTAATTAAATATGTTGGTAGAACTACAGATTTCAAAGGTAAAACGTTGTGGGAGATTGTTGGTTGTTTGAAAAATTTAGGTGTGGGAAGGATTATAGTTCGGTCTGTTTTCGAGAGGTATCCTGAAACTAGTTTTATGAAAATAGTCAAAGTTGAGACTTGTCCTGATGAAGTAAGTATACACAGTATATACAGTTTACACTAACAGAGTTTTAAACCATAATTTTTACACAAGAAAAATATTTAATATTTAATCAATATTTTTAAATTTTCTCAGGAGAGGCGCAGAGTACGTGTGTGGGTTGAAAAAACATTCAGAGGAAAGAAACTGCCAAATATTACTGAAATATATCGTACATCATACAAACCAGATTATAAATTAATACCAAAAAATGAGGAAGCAAAACTCTTGGCAACGGTGGATAAGGTTCATGACTATTCCAATGTTGTATTACCTAAAATTATTGAAATGCCACCACTTATGAAGAAATTTATTACTAAAGATCATGAAAAGAAGGGGCTGGAAGTAAGTATTTGTTTGTTATAGTTTTTCCATCCATTATGTGGTGGAGTGTGTTTAAATTAAACTGTTTTAATACACATTTTCTTGTATAGAAATAGTGTAAACCATTGCCAAAATAATAGCCATGACCATATATGTATATATAGGTATATACCTATATAATTAAATACAATAATGTTTTTATTTATAATAATCATTCTATATTTCTAGATGATGAACTAAGGGTTCATTGATTTTGTCAATACATTTAGTAACAGCTCCTTTACTTTCATCTTATAAGAGTAATGATCTGTAGAAATCCTTACTTACTTAGTAATTTAAGTATGTTTATCAACAGTCTGACTTGCAAGTCAGACACACACATCCTTTTTTTTTTCATACAAATTTGTATGCAGATAGTTTGCTAATCTTGGAAATTGAACCTATCAGAATTTTGCTTCACTTTCCCTCCATGTGTAAGACTTTACAATTTGAAAAATCCTCTGCTATGTACTGGTATATGTTACAGTCAATTTATTTAATTATTACTTATTTTTGTATTGTATCCTTTATTTCTGCTGTGGACCAATAGGGTAATCAGAAGTGTCATTTAAGAGTGGATTTACTTTTGCAAACATTAAAAAAATAGACATAGACAACAAAAGGATATTATACTGTATAGATTGAATGAATAATTTTCTTTATTTTTCTTTTTTTTAAAAGACAACGCCCGCATTAGGAATAAATCCTGTGTCGCGGGGGACTTTACAAACATACATGAAACGGACACAAAGGACACCCAGACTCAGAACAACAATTTGTGGATCACACAAAGTGTCGTCCCATGTGGGGTTTGAACCCACAACACTCGGCGTAGTAGGAAGCGGCGTGGCGACCGCTTAAACCACTACGCCATCCGTTGCAGTCGATTCAAAGCTTGAATTGAACTATATAGTCATATGGCATTAAAAAAAATCATATTCTCTTATTCCAGATTATGACAGACTTTACAATGCCCATCCGATACAACCGCAGCCCAAATCGTGTGAAGAGGATTGCTAAAGGTGACGAAAAACCTACAGTGCAGTTTTCCATGGGTCTCGGGACTCCAGCCAGCCCATCTCTTTATGAAGGAATACAGCTTAGTTAAATAAAACGATATGTTATTATATTATACATTTGATTTTAGAACTGTTGTTAGAAATAAAATAGACTAATTTTTGTTTTTTTTTTAATTTTCGATCGAAGTCAGCCACTGTGTAGATGGAATTGATCATATAAGTACATAATATGTTTCAAAGTAGGTACATATCATAAGTTGATCTATATTTTGTCATTCTCTCTAAAGTTTAGATTTTTGGTGTCCTACTTTCTAGTGGTGACATGGCACAGTGAATTCAGACTTACATAAAAAAATCTCTGACAGAGTGATTCTCAGACTTATTAGTCATACATGATGCCATGTCACCGCTAGAAAGTATGACACAGTTCTTGCTAAAAAATTGTACACAAGTCTTTCCTCAAAGGGACAGACAGTCATATTGAACGGCCAGATTTTACTGACTAAAATTTCAGTCTATAGTAGGGGAAAGCCTATTGTAAATTAAAAATAAGAAAAAAGCTTTTTTAATAATTTTTGTATGGAAGAGGGGGCAAACGCGCAGACGGGTCAACTGATGGAAAGTGACTACCACCGTCCATGAACGCCTGCAACTCTTGAGTCAGAAACGCGTTGCTAGCCTTAAGTCATAATAGAGTTAAGCTTTTTTAATATGATAAACTTGGCGTGTGGTAAATATTTCATCACTGGAAATTCACGTGACTCTAGGATCGTTATAGATACAATCCACATTCGTTTATACTACATTTTTATAGTAAATAGTATAATACATACATATGTAATGGTGCTAATTTACGAAACTACCATGAGGGTTAATAAAAAATCCATTTGTATATTACGAATTCAGATTCATGAATGCATCATGCGAACGCACGTTTTTATCATTTTATTATCGAGACAATTTTATTCATACAAATTTTACCCTTTGTAGCATGTCGTTTGGACGCATAGTGAAGGAGATAAAGGAAAAGAAATAATTCTACACTTGGCTTGGCGGGTTTTTGTGGTAGTGGTACGATGTAAACGACTTAAACACTCCTATTTTATAACGAAACCCACAGCTTTTGGTAACTGAAATAACCAGGGTAAGGATTTTTTTAACAACATTAAATCAGTAATATCAACAAAATTAAACGCGCGTGCAGCAGAAAATTTAAATTAAAGATAAGTTATATCGAAATGGCCTGAAAGTCACTTTATGGTTTTTGCTTTATGGAACTATGAAAAATATGTAAAAAAAATAATTTAATACCTATCTATAAAATATATCATACATATAATTAGTGAATTATGTAAACAAATTAAAAACTAATAAAATTATATTTTTATGTTAGTGCGCCTGATTAAAAACGTACGTGATTATCTGAAATGCATGTGCCGTCCATTGCTTGTTGATAAATAGATGTTGATGTTGTGCACATGGTGATGATACGAACCTTCCTAAAATAAACGCGGTTATATTCCCATGCTCTAATACTGTATTGTTTAAAATTGCTTCGTAAATAACCCATATTTTTTTTGTAATATATAAAAGATAATTATGGTTACTGTGGGTTATCCTTAGGAGATAGACCATCGCGGACTTTATTTGTAAATCTTTAAGATTTACAATTCCGTAGTACATTATTTTGATCTATTTCGTAAGGTTTGGCCAGCGTTTGTAATGTACGCACAAAAACCTGTTTTTACGACATCTCCTAACAAATCTCTTAAATTCTTAGATTTCCTCTACTGTAATATGCATCTATTATACAAATATACGTTCCTTTGCAATCACTCTCTCTATTGGTGAAAACCGCATTAAAATCCTTTAAAAATAAAATAGTTTGAAATTTATATAAAGCGAATCACTTTAAATATTGCTCTGCACATTGTAAGGGCAAAATCATAAAACAAAACACTTTAGTATCTCAAAGTTTATGTCCTTTTCTACATATAACGGTGAACAGTTTCATGATAACAAATTATATAATACTTCGGTAATTAAAAAACCTAACACGTCAAATATACGTAGAAATCATTTTATGATAAATTCATTACATTAGCTACTGAGGCTATGTACCTACGAACAGAAGCATTTATTTTTTGTGTATTACACAGGTATTTATTAAATTGTATTTCTTTTGGATTAACATCATGTTAAATACATTACTTTGGTGCGTTGCCTTCGTGATCCTTTGGCTTCTGGGTGTGGGTTTGAGATGAAGCAAAGAGCCTTGCCAAAAACGGATTCATTTCCACCTCGGGAACATGACTCTCATATTCAAGTTTCTGGTAAGATATTAATATTGTCAATAACAGTACGGGTAATATTTGCTCACGTGTCAAGTTCCAATTCCAACTACGGGTATTGTTAGAGTAATGGAATTTACAAAAAAATCCTGATAAAATTTAAGATTATCAAATTGCATTTTTGATACATGTACGAACGAGTTACGTGTGGTAATGGAAACGTTTTATCCCGGGATAGTGACCTCGAAATTTAATTTTTATCACTCAAAATATTGATCAATTAACATATGACTTAACGCTTGTGTACAAATTTTAAAATATATATTATGTTGAATAGGTATGAAGTATTGAAATCGTGTACCTTCCAGAATTCACGCATTTCCGCGACATCTTCTTGTTTCTGGACAAAGTACTGTCGTACAGTTTTTTGTATTAGAGTGGCAGCGTAATCCTCAGGCCACAACCAAGACTTGGGATAGTACGGACGTGGTCTGAAAATCAGATTGGATTTAGTGTGTTGTAAATGGAATGGTAAATAATAAATGATACATTTTATAATGAAAGGTCTAATAATTTAACTATATTGTGGCCATGAACATACGAGTAGTGCTGAAAGGTACAGATTTTAAGTTGTATTTTACATTTAATATTATGTGTTTTAAAACTATAGATTATGATGTGATTGATAGCGATGCCATGAAGATTATGTTCCTCCCACCTCTTGTTAAGCAATTCCACGCTTTGTCCAACCGCTTCTCTTAACATGTGACAACTTTTTATGGTGTAAATGGTGGTAGAATTTATATTTAATTCAGACGTTTTATTTATTGCATGTTTGTAGGAATATGCGCATACCTTATTTTAAGTTCTGCTCTCACCCATGGCATATTGAATAAATGTAAATTTTTCTCTTTACGGTCTGGATGTCGTGGATTGTTATTCCACAATAGCTAAAAACGGACATTTGCAATGAAATATTTGTAGTCTCCCTAATTGTATCTACCATAAGAAATACATAGGAATTGCAAAACCATTTGACGGTTTATAGTAAATACAACTGTGGATATCACACTAGTGTTGATAGAGTTCGCATTTTGTGATCTTCTACGAACTGACTGAATAACTGCCTCGCTATGTGCTGTAGCTGCGTAGCTTAGCACTTGTGTTAACGATAACAGTGAAGTTGATCGGTTACACAAGGTACTCGTATATTCTTAATTCTCGTTATACCACCGTGCAATATGCCATGTCATCAATAGGATTAGGTATTACTTTACGTGGAGTGTTAAGAAACACACATACACTTTAGATTTACTCCTTCACTGTTATAATGAGCGGCTTACCTGAACTATATGATCGATTCCATTGAAAAAACATTTTTGTCTGACCAGAGCTTCCCATAATTTAGCTTTATTTAGTGTTTCTACTAGAGCTGGTATGAGATGCACAAAAACTTCTTTTTCTATATAATCGCATTCTGTTTCTGTAAATTTTAATGATTTTGAACAATGTATACCTACGTGAATACTATACATAAATAGTCATCTACATTTTATTGGAGTCGGGAGTTTTAATTCTGTTAGTAATTATTGACTGGTTTCAGCAACACTATTTTCCGTGGCGTAACAAGATACAACTTAGCTAAATAACTCATTTAATTTCATTAGGCTTGTGACTCCTGAGTTGAAGGCGTTCGTGGGCGGCGGTAGTCGCTTTCCATCAGGTGACCCACCTGCTCGTTAGCCCCCTATTCCATAAAAAAATGCATCGCATCAGGAATGATAATTATGCAATTAGGATGATTCTATGTTCACTTACTAAGGAAGGCTGGCTTAAATGGTGGTGCCTTAGCTTCAGCGTACTCTTTAATTTGTTGATGCAATTTGTTGCTTTCATTAACAATCTCTGCCCAATTAGCTTTTGCACGTCGCTTTATAAGCACTGGAAAGTCGACTTCGGAACAAGATAAGCTTTCGGGTAACGTGAAAGCAGCTAAAGCAGCCTCAGTTAGATTTGGTGCGGTACTTTTCGAATCTTTTAACTTATTTTTACGATCCGTCGCTTTGCCAGCCATGATTTAAAAATCCTCTACAGTTGATAACTGTGTTAAAATGTTAATGTACATTTGACAATGACATTAGAGCTATATAAACATTTAGAAAAATCTTGAAGTCTCTAAAGCAGAGCTATAGTATTGTTAGTTTCGATCAAAAATACGGATATCTATGGTCTATAAGGCGTATAAAACCTCAATATGTCGAGAAATTCATAAATTATTACAAAAAATTACACATCAATTAATTTAGGTATTCTTTGGCAACAACTTTTTTGGTATGAAAGGAACACACGAATCTTTTTGTGCAAAGGGTGATTTATGGCGTATGGGCATAACGATATTATTCTCCGCTCTTTGAATAATATAAAAGAATTGAAGCATTAAATAAAATTTAAATAAACACCAAATATCTAGTTAGATTTTTGGGCACTACATTTTAAGTTCATAGTTAATAACAACTTTTTTTTAAATTATTTGATGTTATTTTATTTTATACCAGTGAGCTCATTACTCGCGTGCCACGTAGTTGTAAAATTGTATAGTAGTTTCAAATAATTAAGATTTCTTGTAAGAGTAAGTTATTGGGAAGCACCAATACTAGCGCCTATTTCTCTAATACACGTTAAACACAATTTAATATAAAGCTCTAAAATACTTGTTACAAATGATACTATTGTTAAATTTCATTATTTTATTTTATTTTTAAAGTACTAAATCTGCATACGCAATTACTCGGTTGCTCCAGATATTACCATCCAAAGCCTTACAGTAATAAATATTAAATACAGCTAATTCTAGTAATAAATATATGAAGTACAATCCACATATTTTTTCTTGCATCTTCTTTTACTTAAAATGTTGAGTATTTTCTTAGTACGGAGAAAATTTTCCAGTTATTTGTGCTATCCAATCTAAATAATGAGCAACTTTGACGTAGACTCCTGGCACGCCGGGTTGTCCACAGCCAATGCCCCACGACACTACACCAACGATCTGCCAGGTGCCGCCGCGCTCGCACACCAAAGGACCACCTCCGTCACCTTTGCACGCGTCTTTACCTTCTTCTCCTCCGGCACAGAGGAAACCAGGGTTCAGTTCATAGTTGTGGCCCAGTCGGGTCTTTCTTAATTGTTGTTGACATTGACCGTGTGAATGAATTGGCACATCAACTTCTTTTAGAATGTTCTGGTACTTGCCGTAATCGCCGAACGCATCCTTGCCCCAACCCGTTGTCCAGCATCTTTGGCCAGCGTAGTCTGTATACTTGTCAGGCAAACAAGCGGGACTAATATGAGGATACTTGGTCCATTCTACAGGATGATCCATTTTCAAAATAGCAAGATCGTTGTCCAAGGTTCCTGCGTAATACAGAGGGTGCACGTGGACAGAAACGATGTCTCTCTCAATATAAGGATAGAATTCCACATCACGATTAACATCCCATTCACCAAGTCGTACTCTTAACTCGAAACCTTTGTATCTAAAACAGAAACATTAATTGCTGTCACAACTATTCGAATTGATATTGCAGAGCATCTCGGAATGACGGGTATGAAATGCTACTTATTATATATATTTCTAACCTAATCTTTCCATTAATCATGTGGACCCTCATGGATCATCGCTTTGTCCGGGTATAAGTACCATAAATAAAACCCAAGCTGACTGCAAGTACAGTGCTTTGTCGCGAGTAAATATAGATATAATTGCGACAAAGCACTGTACTTGCAACTGACTATGCAACTTTCATCGCCGAGCATCTTGTTATGGAGCAAGATATTTAGTCTCACAACAGTCACAACCCTTTTAATTTTTTAAGTGTCAATTGCATGAGCGTTATAAAATTGAGCTGCCGGCGGCGTGAGGCAACAGTAGTTGATTATGTGAGAAGTTATCAAGTTGAACTTACGATTTAACGCAGTGAGCAGCGGTAATAATGTGTAGACCATCGATGAGTGTACCTCCACATACATATACTGATTCTTTAGGATCTTTCTTTAAAATGGCAGTTTGCCAAGGGTATTCTCCAAATTCACTTTCACCATCGACATAAGCAGGTGTTTTAATTCTACCATTGATTCCCTGAGAGTGTCGAATACCGCACTGTCCTTTGTTTGCTGCCTGTGGTTGCAACGGCCTACGACAGCAAACCTGGTTAGGTCTGCATTGCTGTACAGGAGGACGTCCAAAGTAAGCTTGACGCTGAAATATAATAAATAAGAAAATCAGTATCATCAGTACTTATATCAAATAAACATTTAAAAATCCCTTTCAAATTAATACATGAAATATTTTCTGACCCTATTTTCAAAAAGTTCGTTTAAAGACGACAAGATTAACAGAAATGTTTATGATTTACCTCTTCACTTTCTACAGTAGAATTTTCTATTATGATTTCTCTCTTCCGTCTCTTGTCAGGAAACCTAATTGTTCGGCCTCCCCGGCTTGCCCCAAAAGGTTTTGAAGGAATATTTTGGGATTGGGAATAATCATACTGTTTAGCGTAAATACCCTGTTTATTTTCGTCCTCGACTTTTGCTGATCTATTATTTTGATTATTAATTGTTTGCCTATTGCGGTAATAAACATCACTACCACTTTCGTCATAGTAATCATCGTTACCTAACGGAGGTTCAAAATTACTGTAATCTTGCTCTTGAAATTTATCAGACTCGTAATCTATGTAATGGGCTGAATAAGGTCTGTGAATTTGTTCAGACTCGTAGTTTTGTGAATGTTCATTGGAATGAAAATGAGGCAAGCCTTCATAGTGATGAGGGTTATATGAGTTGGCATATAGATGCAAATGATGAGGTCCAGGGTATGAATGAGGATATGGTATATGAGGTACTGGTACTATAGGCGGTACAATTAAACTTTGATGTTTGTGTAATAAAAATTGTTTCTTTTGATGAAATAATTGTCCTACGGTCGCCACTGTCTTCGGATTAGGTACAACATGAACATGAATAAGAGGCTTATAAACTTTTTCTCCATAATCATCTTTAGTTACCTGAATAGAGATTAAAGGATTCGCGGAAACTAAACCTAAATTAAAACCGCCTCCTCCGATAGCGGGCATATGAGGAAGAAGATGTGGATTAAAAGGTGTTGGGCCGGTAATCGAAGGGGGCAATCCGAAAGAGATACCAAACGTGGGCTGGACATGTCTGTAGTCTATGTTGTTGCTAAGGCTGCTAAGCCCGCTGAAGCCAGGGAACCGAGGCCGCTGTAGTAATATTGCCGTATTTAATAAATTGAGTCTGTTACAAAAATGTTAAAATGCCACTGCCCATAGTTTAGTATATCTTTCGCAACTGTTACACTTCATTAACAACAGTTAAGGTTGTAAGGGTCAAATTTATAGCTCGAATAAAAGGTACGTGTTAAATAAAATTGCATAAATTAACTTCCTAAGTTAAATTAAACCATCTACAAAATTATAATCATTAAAAAAATGTATTTAATTTAGTTACCTACCCAATTGGTATTAGGATTGGTACTTACCGGTTCAATTTCTTCATCTGCTTTTGGACTTGCTTCTTTTTCTTTGGTTTCACGTTTGCTTATCGGTTTCGTTTCCTCAGAAGTTGAATTTTGCGAGTTTTCAGTCTTATTTATAGTATCTAACTGTTCTTCTGTTAAAGCTGAAATTTCGCTACCTTTGTTACGAGGGTCAATTGGTAAATATAAGTCATCCCTGCGACCAATCACTTCTTGACTTGGGCACTGATCATAATTGACACAAACACATTCAAAACCTTGAGCTTTGGCTTCATGATAATTTTCTGCATATGCATCGCTTTGACCAAACGTCGCAGGTCCTTGGCTATAAAGATTATTTCCAGATCCTACATGTAATTCTTTTTTGTAAAATTCATTGGACTGTTGACCATAAGTGCCTAAACCGTTTCCATATTTTTGATCTTCGAATACATTGTTAGGGTACTGATTTGGTAAACCTTGATTTAAAACATTAGCACCCCCTTTATACGAATTGTGCCCAAACTGGGAACCATAAATAGCGTCGGATTCATAAATAGGCTTATTGCTATCTAGTGGATAGCTGCCTGACATGGGCTGAAAACCACCAGAATTAATACCGCTGTAATCGCCCCCTCCAGCTGTTATAACATCTGAAGATTGCTGAACATGAGCTTGACTTAATTGACCAACAGATCCTACCGGAATCGCCACAGGCTTTATAATAACTTTTGGTTCTTTGTCAGTGTCACCATGAACATAATGGTGATGAATGTGTTGCTGAACTATTGAATCTTGTTTAGAACCTGATTGTGAAGATGGTATTTTATTGTAACTAGGCTTAGAGTTTTCAAAGGTATATGGACTTTGGCTGCTATAACCAGGAGGTTTAGTAACGTAGTTAGTTTCAGGGCCGTTGTACAAAGAACTCTGAGAAAACTGATACGAATTACTCGCCACTCCGTACTTGTCGGCAAAACCAGGACGGCCACTACCACCATAACCGATTCTTTTGGGTGGGAACTTTTGTGGGCGTCCAGGATATGGAACTGGTTGAGGTGGACCGTAAGCCCTTGGTGGTCCACGAATGGGGATCGATGGGACTGGTTTTCCAATGGGCTTGATATCGACAGGTTGTGCATAAATTACATCATCGGGTGACAAGTAACGTTTTTCTTGAGTTTCTTCTTCTTCGCACTGTAAGAGTTAGATTTTTATAAGTAAAAAATATTATGTGGTACGCATTAATATTCTACAATTATTTCTGAATTCTTACTTGTATAAGTCCTAATGTGCACAGTCTGCCTTTGATTAAATTTCTTGCTTCAACGTCATCACCAGCGTCCAAGGCATCCTTGATCGTGGGATCACTGTAGACATCATCGAATCCGCCTAAACTTCTGCCTTGTTTGCTACTCACTAGCTCATCGACGATGTCATCAAGTACTGTTCCATTTGTTTCATATTGTTTTTTCTCGGCTTCGGGTAATTGTTCACCTTGCAACAAACTTGTTGATTTTTGTTCATCGTTTTCTGCTTGTTTAGTATTTGACTCAGCACCCCAAGACCATTCTGCCTTAGTAGCACATGATATTGACAGTATTACTAAAATTAACGTTGACCACCGCATATTCTGTAATAATAAAGAAAATTATCAAATCGCTGATGTCATTTGGTCCTTCTTTAGCAAAGCACGTCATTGTTTCGAAACTGCAGGCGAAGAATCACTTTTACTTTCGCAGACAGTCTGTAGTTATATAATATGCCTTCATAACGGCAGCGGAGTGTTGTGGCTTCGAGGCTATTAGTAGGAGTCGGTCGCGAAAGCACTCTCACGCCGCACGCTGCGTCGAACAAGCATTACACACTCAACTCCCCGAATTTAAAAATATTTTGATAAAGTAGTAAAATTAAAGATAATACATTTTTTTTAAATAAATATATTACTAACAATTGATATGAATTCCCTAAATTTGTAACAAAAGATTTACACACGTAAACATTATTCAATTTTCTTTTATGTATCTCGTCCATGTGCGGACCGAAGATCGTGAATACATTAGACATCATTAATTTTTATGTCCTAGCTGCGCTATCGAGGTCAGCTTTTGTTTTGTTGTTATGAAAGAAAATTAAAAAAAATCGGTGTCATTGTCGTGGTGTCGAACCCAAAGTGGCACATCGGTTAGTTCGCAGTCCACGCGCGTCTCGTCCGACGCATCACAAATTCGGTAACCATCGATAATAATTATGTAACTCCCGATAGTTATTACTCTTGTTTGCTTTATGCAACTTTGTTATGCCATCACTCGTTTATAATTTATTTTATACATTTTTTTAATGAAAACGCTCTCAGTGGGACTTGATTAGATGTAATATATAAATGAAAGTCTTGTACAGATATACCGGCATTAAAACTAGCTTAATAATATTCATTAGCCATTTAGTGGCACATGTTTATTATTATAACGTAGTGAAATTGCGTTAAACAACAATTGCGTAAACAGAGTGAAAATTTAGAAGTAATTTTAATATGTAACTCTACTTCGCCTAATAAACAGCTTTATATTACGGTTAAATAAAAATAAAATAGAATAAATTACTTATCAGATGAAAACTATTTATCGTTGATGAAATGTTTATTGACCGAGTTAATCATATACGTAAGCTGTAAAAATATTAGCTTGGTTTCTTTGTTATGCAATGATGTAAATTACTCAGTGTCCCCGTGATGCGTTTATTCGAGACGAGTGGTGGAAAGTGAAAGTTTACTCGAGAATTACTTACTTTAGAAAGAAGTTATCTGTTTACAAATAAATAATTTAAGTAACTGAAGCAGAAAGCTGGCAATCAAAGCATATCAAGTAAAGTTATTTTTAATTTAATAAAAAAAAAACGGACGTATACACAATCATTCATATTTTTTTATGTTTTCTAATGATATTGATATTGGACATCTGGACCATCATTAAGTAATAATTTAATCCTAATATATGCTTTAGCTCTCACTTTTATCCGGTAGATATTTTCAAGAGAGAAAATAATGTTCCTGCACCAGCACCACAAATAAAGTTTTTTAAACTTCGTTATTATTTTTAAAACTATAACACTCCAAAAACTTACTGTTTATAATATCTTCACTTCTTGTATATTACAAACTTATTTGTTTTCAAATTCTCACAAGTTTACCGGCGCACTGACTGCGTTCGAATGACTTCCACTTCTACCTCTACGACGCTTTATACTTCGACCAACGTAAAGATGCATGCCCGCCGATTTTGTAAGACGTTTGACGCAGCCTCTTACCACGATATCTTATAAAGAATCATTACTCACCCAGATACAGTATTTTTTCGTACTACTTCTCTGTCGTTAGCAATTTCATGGTACAGGTTATGACGTACGTCGATAACATTGATCAACCCTTATTTTCATTCATGTTCTGAGTAGACGTTTGGTAATATGGTTTTTTTAGGTCGTCTTTGCGGATCTGTCTGTACTGTTGCCGTAAACCGAATACTGATATTCTGTTGCTGATGTCATCATGTCAAATAATATGTTTAGTACATCATTGCTTTTATTGTACTGTAAGTGAGATTTGTACATATAAGTTAATAGTCATATTTGTATAACAACTATTTATATTAGAAGAGAAAATATATTCACTTTACTGTATTTTAGAGTACCTATTTTCCTTTACAAGGAAACCCCTTTTTCAAACGACATACGATTAACGGTAGGCAGGCTGTCTTTAAAGGAAAATAAGTATAATGCGCGGATTTAGAAAATAGCTAAACTCGGGATATTTAGCTTCTTATGCATTTAATGTGGGAACGAATGGTAGACTAGAATTGAATTATTTAATTAATAAAGCTTGTGTGCGAACATAGACTGACGGCGTACTTAGTGGCCTAGGCTCTTTTCATTTGTTCTCATTTTAAAATGAAGCAGAATTCAATTAAGGCAAGTAACACAACTACATAATAATACTGCAAGGAATATGCTTGCTGAAAAGTGAGGTAATAATCATTATTATACCTGACGTGACATGACATGACATGACTGATGCCTTTATTCCGAACATAAAGTCATATTAATGCAGGGTCTATAGTAGTTAATGCCGTCTGTCTGGAAGTTGCTTCTGGAGTACGTGTAGTACCTTAAGCAGATCTTGCAACTAAAGGGCGAAGCCAACAGAAGGATTTAGCTGAGATGGGCATCATTTCATGTGGTTGTGTGTCTCCGATCTCTGTAATGATCTACGATGCTGATGAAGTAATTCGACACAAAACCAAGTATTAGCAATGGGCTGGCTACATTGCCCGCAGAATCGATAACCGCTGGGGTAGAAGTTGAGTGGATATAAATGCTGAGCCTATCTTTCTAATGATTCAACAATCTTGTTTAGTTTATGTTCTTGTGTAGTGGAGGGTTATCGTCACGCTATAAATAATAATAATATTTTGTGGACATCTAACACAACGCCATTTAGTTCCAAACTAAGCAGAGCTTGTACTATGAAAGCTTTGACTGATAGAATAACATACTTATATACTTTTTTTTGTAAATACACACATATTACACATAGGAAACACCCAAACTGCGAAACAAATATTTGTAGAGCATACAAATATTTGGTCTGACCTGGGAATCAAACCCGAAACCTCAGAACAGCAGTTGCATACGCTACTACTGTGCCACCGAGGCATTCAAATATGTTCTGTCTATAATTTTCTGTATAAAAGCAAACAGCTCAAACCCTGTTTACATATTGCACCGACACCAAATACGATTCGAAAAGAATCCTAAAATAATGTTGATGATGTAACTCAATATTAGTTTCATTATTTTCTAAACATCTTCAAAACTTTTAGTACAGTTACAAGTATTCATATCCATAAATCATTATGTCTCCACTTACCCTTAAAATGTACGTCACTATAGCAGTACCTAAAACGAATGGCGGAGCGGGACCGGTAGAGGTTTAGAACTCTTCCGGACTGCCAGGCTCGGGCACAGGCCAGGTACCGCAGCCGACTCCGGCGCCGGAGGTCGCAGAACGACCTCCGTCCTCCATAAGCGCAGGCGTGAGGGTGACAGGTGAGGCCATCTGTCACCCTAGCAGAAGCAGGCTTTTGGGAGCACCAAGGGAACCCACACGGGAGGTGGTCGTCTAACCGGCGTGGATGGCCCGAGGTACGTCGAGGTACCAGGGATTTCCTTTCTGGGGTACACCTGAGACGGCGTGCGGTTTATTGTCGGTTCGAGTCCGACATAGCCACCGGTAGGTGGTATCCGAGAGGATTGCCGCACAGAAAAAAAAGTACCTAAAATGAGATGAATTAGAAGTCCATCATTTAACATTATGGTTACGGCAATTAACGCGCTTACGATAGGTATTAAGTACTTACCTTTGCATTGCCTGACGTTTCGACCAGGTTGCACTAGCTATCATCATAGGATGACTGTAAATTATATACTTAATACATTTTGGGAGCGCGTTAATTCCTGCAAACATAATTATATATTTAGAAACGCGATAGCGACGAAGTTAGTAAGTCCATAATTATCTCTAATTTGAACTTCAATGTCAACGTAACAATACAAATGAACAGTATTTATTCCCTTCGTTATTTGAAATACAATAACGAATAGAATGTTTCTGTTATGACATGACATTCGCGTTGTTATCTAATGAGTACCACCCACATCGTTGGAGCTCACCCTTCCATATCAAGATAATGAGCCACTTTCTCAGGACCATAGTTTCTAATAAGGTGAGATGACCCACTGAATTTTGTATGTTTCAACACTACAGTGTTACAATAGTTTTGTTTACCAACAATGATAGTCAATTCCTGATTATAGAATACATAAAATTATGAGGAATAGGAACGTAAAATTAAAACTGAAAATTGAATTGAAAGAAGTGCAGGAAGATAACATTTTTAAATAAATTTGCAACAAGCTGAAGTTAACAACTATTACTCGTATTACTAAAAAGCAAAAAGAAACACTAACTGACTACTTTAAATTTTGGCAGCTGATGCATTTTTTGTTAAGAAAGGATTTCTTAAAATTTCGCTTAAGGGATGAACGAATTAACGGAAGTTTGTCATTTTCAAAGTTACACGAAAGAAGAAATATAGGCATGATATATATTGAACTATCTCCAGTTTTCTTTACTGTATTTTATGTTTATGTTATAATTCTATATTTACATCATAATAAATATATACTGCGCCGACCTCAAATAAAATTGGGACAAGGGTAGGCAGATGATAATGATGATACATCATAATAAATTTAAAAAGGGCAATTTTAAAATCTGTTTCTAAAGAAAGTATTTGTGAGGAACACATTGGTTTAGGCTGTAGATGGTAGTCTTGCGTAGTTCTTATCAAGTCGCTTCTTTGTTTGTCTGTTTGTGTGTATGTTAAGAACCTTTTTTTCAGATAGTCTCGAGTGAAAATCCCAATCTTAAGGTAAGGTTTTTTGAGCAAAACAAAGAAAATTAAAATATTATCCATTGAAATTAATAAAATTTGGTGAAAAGCAAAATCTTATAGTACAGGTAGAGGGTAAAACGCAAAATTGTAAATCTGAAACATTGTTATATAAATTTCTTTT